GAGGAGGGAGCGTGGGGTTGACGAAGGACAGGAGACAACAGTAGCTCAGAGTGAGGACTAAGAAGATTGCCCAGAGCCTCCCATTTGCCCTTTCAGGGCACGGGGTCCTGGGAATGATGTCGGGGCTGCCTGGAGACCCCCACATCCTGGACTGGACAGGTTTTGACCTTGTCCTGGCCCCCAGCCCAGCTGGAGCCCAGCAGTCAAGTGGACTCTGGGATGCAGGCTGGGTAGGGTTGGGGACAGAATGGGGCCAGAAGCATGGCTCAAGGGCACAGGGCTGGAGTGGTCTCACAGCATATGATGTGATGGGGATCGAGCCCAGCCTCCCTCCCACGCTGTGGGGAACCGGAGAACCGTGAATGAGATTTTTAGCAGCACACTGATAAACAGAGCAGCTCTGCTAAGCCATAGAGTAAGACTCAGGAGGAAAAGCCATTGCGAGGTAAGGGAGGGAGGACCCTCCGCGCCACCTGCTGGCCAAGCCCTGAGGGAGGCAAAGACTAGGGGAGCATTTGTGCCAGGGTCCCTGCAAGACAGTGCCCACGGCAGTGGAGGGGCCACTGAGTCATCAGCGAGGTGAAGAAAGAGGTAAATGAGGCTTGAAACGACCACCAGGAAGCATTTGGTGCTTTTTAAAAACCACGTTACAGTCAAGATGGGTGTCCTTGATGCATCCCTGATGCTTACTTGTCTTTCTGGGTCAGATGGGACGGGAAGTTCACTCAGAAATATAGGAAGAGTCAGGGCTGCCCACTGGGCACATTACTTGGTAACAGGAAGCAATAGGTTCCCATGTTTACCTGCGCATTTTGACCTGGCTCAAAGCAGCCATGAAAAGATGTTTCCTGGGTCAAAAGTGGTTCTGTTCTGCTCCAGCACAAGATGCCTGTTCTAAGTGAATGATGGTGGCGCATGTGAGCCCAGCCCCGGGGAGCTCAGCCCCATCTGCCTCTTACCTGCCTTATATTCTGAGGCTTATTGTCTTCCATATTCCACCCCTCAGAAGATCTACCATCAAAGAAGCCTTTAAAATGGCAGAGATTCTTCCCCATGCAAACAGGAAAGGGCATCCAGCTCCGTCTCCCCAGGGTGGAAAAGCACCGACCACATAGGAACCAAGCAGAGGCCAGGACCCTAGAGCAGTGGTTCTCACAGCTGAGCTGCATCAGTCACCCAGAGGGCTGGTTAGCACACATGGCGCCAACCCTAGCCCCAAGTTTCTGATTCGGTAGGTCTGAGGAGGGCCAGAGAGTTACCAGGGGATGCTGGTACTGCTGGCTGGGCACCTCACTTTGAGAACCTCTGCCTTAGAGGATATTCCCAAACTTTAGGTATTGTCTTTGGTTTTAAAAGAGAGAAAGAAAAGGGGAGGGAGTGTGCCTGGTGTTACTAGGCAACCATTAACCAAAGGGGATGGGAGCTGGGTTCTGGGAAGGACAGCAGGCACTGTGACGTGACCTCAGACTGGACAGAAGGCTGTGACTAACTTTATTGGCATCTCTCTAGAGACATAAGTCGGCTTCACTGCCAAGTTGCCTAAGGTGTTCAGCAGGACTACTTGAAGGCCTGACAGCTGCCTAAGGAGAGCCTGTCTCCCAGCAGGGCCTTCTGCTCCTTGCTCCAGAGGGCTTTGAGCTTGCGGTAGTACACCTTGCAGCTGAAGCCCTCCCTGAAGCCCCTCCTGATGTGGCTTTTGAGGAAGTCCAGGGTGGGGTACATGCGGCAGCAGGCCGCGCACTTGTAGCCATTCTGCTGTGCTGAGTGCCACCTGGAAGCCATTAGGATGTCCTGGGATGTGATGGAGTCCAGGCCATGTCTGAATTTCTTGGTGACTTCTCGGGGGCAAGTGTTCTCTGTGGAGGAGGAGGACGAACAGTTGCTCTCAGCCATGTCCTCAGAAAGGCCGTTGTCCCACTTGCCCTCATCCTGCTGCTCCTCTGGGAAGTTGTAGGCCTCCAGGTGGCGCTCTCTGTCCGCACACACGAAGTAGCTGTAGGGGGAGAACCAGGGCCTGTAGATGATGCAGTTCCGCCTCAGCTGCTCCCCGCGCTGGCTGTCCCCGAAGCTGTAGTCTGCAAAGGAATGGACCAGGTCTGAAAGCAGAAAGGGGCAGGGGAGCCAAGGATGCTAGCAGAAAGTCAAGAAGCAGACATCAGGCATGACCTCGGTTACTTCCACCCCACCAGGATTGCAGATCTGAGAGCAGACGCAAGACAGTGGGGAGAGCAGCTGAGGGCATTCCTTCTCGCTGCATTCTTTTTTTACGGGTACAAATGACCGGCGGATTGTGGGGTGAGAGAGGCCGCTTTTAGTTAGTAAGCCTCGGTATTTGTCAAGTCCTTCCTTTCCTGGAGACACTGTGTCCACTGAGTCCTCTAAGGATAGACACAGGTGACCCAGCAGACAGACAGACTGTCCTCCCACAGTTCCTCTTCCCGCCGCCCATGGCAGTGACCCTTTTTTCAGCCTCACTGCCCATCCTGATTCCTCCACAGCCCTCTCAGCCAGAAGCTGCTCTTGCACACCAGCTTCAGAGACAGGAGAGGGGAGGCAAGGCGAGAGCCCCAGGCCTGCGGTGTCTACCGAGGACGAAGGGCCAGAGAGGAGGCTGCAGGTGACAAGCTGCACATGAGAGTCCGGCTTCCACACACCTTGTCTCCCTTAGGGAATGAGCCCCTGTTCATCCTTAGCTTCTCACACATTCCCACCCAGAGTCAGAGAAGGCCTCACCTGGTGAGAGCACTGTATTTTGTACCCCTTGCTGGACAGTGATGCTTTGGTACTGGGGTGGCAGGGCCTGCGCTGGGCTGGATGCCTCCGTGGGCACCGTTATCTTTGCAATGTCTGCGTTATAGAAGAAACACTCTGGTGAGTTGAGCAAGGTTGAGATTCCACTTCTTGGGACTTCCCCCCAACCAGGCACACCTAGAGGCTCATCCTCTGTGCTTTCAGGCATCTCAAAGCTGAAACGGAACAGTGACCTCTCAAACTCAAGCAGCCAGAGCTATTCTGGATGACATCCTGAGGAATTCCAAATGGGCCGTTTCATTCAGGTCTCAGAAAGATTCTCTGGAAAGTAGAATTTATGATGTAGCCCAGATGACACCTCTCTGCTTGGCCTGCCCCTCACCTGACCCTGACCCTCCTGCATCTCATCACATGAATGACTTCACTCTGCATTGCCAGTCTTCTGGGCATCCTGGGACCCAGAGCCACCAGCGGCAGAGCAATGTTGCATGCCCCCTTTGAGAATTGTCCAGTTGAAACATCTCATACCCACAGTCAGGGTTCCCGTGGCCCATCCCTGCATGGCACACCCTGGAGTAGCTGCTAACACTTGGACAAAAAGCTGACCTGCCTCAAATCCCAGAAAAGCAGTTGTGTTCAGTTTGGGGGGTAAATGTATAGATGTCATGTATATAGATGGATGCTTAGGAGGCCACCTCCACTAAGTGGTATGTCTCCATTTGACTGTGCATAGGGATCCCCTGGGGATCTTGTTAATAACATGGGTACTGATTCAGTGGGTCCAGGGTGGGAGCCTCAGATCCTGCATTTCTAAGAAGCTCCCAGACGATGCAGACGTTGCGGGTCTCAGACCGTATTTTGAACAGGGAGCCCTCAGGGTGTCCACCTTTATTCCACGATGTGCTCATCAGTTTACCCTGCCGCTTAGGCTTCTCTCGTGGTTTGCTACTCCAAATCCTCTCCAAGATTGTCAAAACAGAGCTAAAACTAGTTTCTGCTCTATGTAGACATATTGCCACCTCGAGATTTCATGCACTCTAGGGGGAAAAACTTGATGATAAATGGAGGCTGAGGCAGAAGAATTGCTTGAACCCAGGAGGCAGAGGTTGCAGTGAACTGAGATTGTGTCATTTCACTCCAACCTGGGTAATAGGAGCGAAACTCCATCTCAAAAAAAAAAAAAAAAACGTTTCCCCCTTTATTCCCTTACTAAGAATCAGTATATAGCAGGAGCTACTTACCACAAATGCAGCATTTTGAAAAGTTATTTTCTCCCCATATGTAATTTGACTTTCTCACTAAATCTTGGTCCTATAACATGATCTGGTAGAGTACTCAATTATAAGCCTCAAAAAACCCCACATCTTTGTGGCCCTGGTGGCACCAGAGTTTACCTGACAGGCTGGTGGCACGAGAGGACATAATGTTGGGAAAGGCACTCAGGGTGGAGGAAGAGATTTGAGGTCCAGAGATGCTGAGGAGTGAGAAGTTCTCCATGTTCTGACCACTGCAGGGTACAGAGATCACACACCTGCTCTGGAGAGGCTGGCTGGGTTGTCCAGACGATAAACATTCTGAGCACAGTTGATGTCACAAGGCACAGGATTCCACTCCCCAACCAGGTGACCTTTGAAAGATGAGAGGAGGCTACTACAAACAAGATTAAAATGTGTAAAGATTGTTTATACCTTGCCATTCCCCAGTGGCAAACCCTGATTGAGAATACCCAGAGAGAAGGAAGAATATAGTAAACATATTACAGAGACGCTGTCTGTCCCCGTTTATCTTTATTTTCATCACTTTTCTGTGTTGACACTGTCTACCCCAACCCCTTCAGCCCTGGAAACCTCTGTCCTCCCTGAATGCTCCTCCTTCTCTTCGCCTTTATCAACCTAATCTCTGTCAGCAAAATATATGTTTTGTTTTCGTTTTTTAAGGTTTACGGTATATATTTTTCACATTTTCTTCAGAAATTCAAATTCATAAAAGTTGCAGGAAGAGGCTTGGGGCAGTGGCTCAGGCCTGTAATTCCAGCACTTTGGGAGGCCAAGGTGATTTGAGGTCAGGAGTTCAAGACCAGCCAGACCAGCTTGGTGAAACCCCCATCTCTACTCAAAATATAAAAATTACCCGGGCATGGTGGTGGGCACCTGTAATCTCAGCTACTCAGGAGGCTGAGGCAGGAGAATCGCTTGAACCCAAGAGACAGGTTGCAGTGACCCAAGGTCACGCCACTGCACTGCAGCCTTAGCGACAGAGTGAGACTCCATCTCGAAAGTTGCAAAAATAAAATCAATACAAAGAACACTCGTATGCCCGGTATGCAGATTTTCCTATTAACCTTGGACCCCATTTGCTTGATTAGTTCCCTTCCTCCTATTCCCTGCCCCATGTATATGTGTGTATACTTAATTTTTTCTCTGAACTATTTGAAGGTAAGTCATAAGCACTATGACCTTTTACACCTAAATACTTCTATGTGTATTTCTTAAGAATAAGGACCAAATATTATTTTCAGTGGTTGGTGCTCTTTTTAGCAAGTGACTAAAACACAAATGAGTGGCTTACTCAATACTGTTTTGCTCATTGTTTAAGTCAGTTTGATGGGGAGACTCTGGGACTCCAGAGAAGCAAGGTTGCCTCTTCGTTTTGCTTGTCCCATAACAACCTCGTGCACTGGCGAGGTGTGGAATAAGGTGAAGATGACTGTGACAGTTGGAAGCTAAGTTGAAGGTGCCCCTTTCTAGATTATCACAACATGTCAACTAGTTACAGAAAAGGGCTGCAGATCTAAATGGCAGGTATGTTTATGCTGCATGGGTGCTCTGGCCCGCTCTGGAAATAGTGATGGGCTTCTTTTGCAGTGGTGTGGAGCATGCATGAGTGGAGTGTGAGTTAGCTTCTGCACATGAGAGCCCAGAGTTGTCTTCCTGTGTGTATATATTCACAGTAGTGGAAGAGTCAGAGGACGATGGGGAGAGCATGATTCCCCTCGTGTTCCTCCCCCATGGCCTGGTTTGGAGCATTAGGATGTGTTGGAAAGTAAATTGAAGCCTCAAACTTTGGCAATTTGGGGGGCATCTGCAATTTTGTTTGAGCCATTATGGCGTAGAGAAAGCTTGAGAGTGTGGGCATCGGCTTATGTGACTTCTAATCCCCCATCTGCCATGAGCTACCTGTGTGATATTGTTCAAACCTCTCTGCCACTTGGTTATCCCATATTATTACTTTAGACTAAATTGGAGTGGATGCACGTCTGCCTGGCTAAAGCCCAGTGATTTACATGTGGACAGTAGCATCCCTGTGAGTGATCACACGGGACCCTCAGGACTTGGAAGTGCATTCTGTCTTAACCCATCACATTTCTCCCACTGCCAACTTCAGACTTTCCCACTGGAACCTCAGATCTAATGTAAAGGGGGCTCAAAATACTGGCGGGAAATACGGGAGGCGGAATCTCTCAGTGCCTGTGTAGAGTTTTAAAACATGACCCTGTTTTGATTTAGTCACTGATAAGCTTGCGGGAGCCTCGTGGTTCAGGGTGCACACCACTTCTCATAGCAGGACCCTTGTCTTGTGTGCTGTGTCCTCCCGAGGTATGCTGCTGCTGGTGGCCCAGGCAGGAGGTGACACTCTCAAAGCGATTGGTCACTACGTAAAATGTGTCTTTCTCTTGTTTGTTTCCCACCTGCTTTCCGAGCTCCTTTCTCGGACAGGTAAGATACCCTGTTTTTTGTGGATGACTTACATCCCCAGATGCCCTCCTCTGCTTGAGTTGTATGCATGTTGGCGGGGGGTGCTGTTGGGAGGGTCGCCTGGCTGGGGTATAGTCATCTCTCTCTCCTCCATTGCCATTATTTTCTGAACCACCAAGCGTCTAGTCCTAAGGCAAGAAGGACAATGTGTGGGGGTCATTAGAGCCATCATCAAGAAAGGGACCCATTGTACATCCTCAGACATGGGGATAAAGTGACCCCCAGCCAGAGCCCCACTTCCACTTTGAATAGAAGGGCAGTTCTCCTGGTCTAACCTCAAGAGCCCCTGAAGACCACTCCCATAGAGGGGGTTTTGAGTGGCTTTTATAAACGGAGAAAGGCTTGTGAGCAGTTTCCCTACAATGCCAGCCCATCATGCACGTTTTAAGAATTCATAGAAAAGTCAAATTTAGTTGAACAAACTTATAAAATGGCTATTAAAGGCTCTATCATACAAGACCCTAAGCTAGGCGTTGTGGAAGGTGAAGAAACACTTCAGATGCTGTGGCCTCTCAAGGAGCTTACCATTTTAAGACAAGGTGTATTTACTGGAAAGATTTAGACAAGTGTAAAGGGAGTGCGTGATAGGTTATCTTTCAATTACTTGAGAATTCAGTGCATTTTATAGACCATGTTATGAAGGATAGAGAGAAAAAATACAGGAAATCCAAATTGGTACATAATCCAGAGTTACGTTTATTACTAAGAGTCTTTTAAAAATAATAGCTCATAATTTACGAATCACCTTGGCAGGTATTTTGGTGCTTGCCTTTTTAAAAACGAATATGTCTGCTCTGAAAATTCACTTTAAACCAGTAAGGAAACCAGCAAGGAAATATCTGATTTGGGAAGTGGGGGCAATTTGCCTTCCCCAAGCATTTTGTATGGTTTCATTATGGTCTATATACTTTCTGGTTTGGGGGAATATAGTTAAATGGTTTGGTTTCCAAATCTTCTTTGCTAGTTTGCAATGACATGATTAAAGAAAATAAGAACGATATGGGACCTGACAGGCAAATTGTGCCAAATTGGATGATGCGGCAAGATACACACTTAGGAGAATCATCAGGAGTTGACCCTGCTTGCTGTGGAGCGGGCTGGAAGCTTCTGCTAGAGTGGTGGGTGTATCTGGAGCCCAGCCAGCTAAGGTCCTGTGTCCAAGGGATGCTGTCATAGTGTTCCCTGGCCTGTCCTCACCTTGCAGTGGTGAAGATCGCAGGGTTCATCTGCAGAGAGCAGTCTCCACTCCTCTTCCCACAGCTTTTCCTCCCTGCCACCCAAAGGCCTTTAGAATATGGTGTGTCTAGGTAGTTGGCCCAGCAAGGATAGCACCACTGAAACCACAAAAAAGGTTACCATCGGCCCAGGATGCAGCAGCGCAGGGCAGCGAGAACTGGTTTACACAAAAATTCAGCAGAAGAAAAACTGCACCTAACCCCAGTTACTCTTAGAAGAAGATCAGTGAGAACAGACACTTAGCAGAGGTGTTGGCAAGGAAAGGAGCCTAGTGATCAAATGATCCGGTAATTGCCTTCCCTCAGACTGACAGCTTATCTGGGGTAGTTGTTACAGACAGAAACCTTGATCCAGGTTCCAAGGCCTCAGAGTAGGTCTGGCTGCCTGATGACTGAGCTGGATTTCCAGATAGGGAGAGGATGCCCAAGTGTGAGTGTGTGGACAGCATGGCTTAGAGCCTGGAGCTCCAGTCATTTCGGTAACAAACTTTGAAGCCACTATCTTGGCCACCACAGTTTCCTATCTACAAAATGCGTATTGGTGATTCAAGATCTGTGCTAAGCATCAGCTATGTGCCAAACCCAGGCTAGGCATTGAAGATACAAAGATGAATGAGGCATGGCCTCCTTGCAAATATTTATGACCTAACGGGTTTATACCCAGCTCTTTGAGTTCATTTTTCAAGCCAAAGAGGATCCCTACAAGAAGGGCCATGTACCAGACATATATAGGCAGCTATTCCATGATCCAAAGCAGGGCAGAGTTGTGGACAGAGCCCTGAGCTGTGGGTTAGAAGGCCCGAGTTCTAGTTCCAGTCCTGCTAGTATTTAGCTGTGTGACCTCAAGCATGGCGCTGCATTACGCGGAGTCCCGCTTGCTTCATCTATAGGTAGATATCCTTCCATGCACCACCTCCCTAGGTGGCTGTAAGGATTAAGTGAGCTGATGTTCATTAGGATCCTCGTGTTTCACTGGCACTGAGCACCTATCCATTTGGTAGGAACTGATTCTGAACCACCACTTAGCATCTCTGCAAGAGCTGGCCCACTCACTTGAGTCCAACCTCTGTAGACCTGAGGAGGGGCTGCCCCATTTTTCATGGAGAATATGTGCTGTATTCATGTCCTTCAGTGGGGAGCATCTAAAACCAAGCCTCATCCATGCCGTCCCTCCACCAGCTTCCAACCCTCTGAGAGCTCAGCACGTGCCCAGGGCAATAGAAAAATCTCGTGTTTCGTTGCTTCATCCTCATTTTTTCTTTACTTCAAAGGGCCTGGTGATTCCAAGGTAAAGGGGCCAAGCCATGAGTCAAGGAGGCAGGTTTAAAGGAAAAATTTTATTTTTTTAAGGCTAGGATTAGTCACTGATTAACGTGTGTGGGGCAGAGCTAGAATTTCTAGTTCCTCTGCCATCAAGAAAACTGCAGTGGAAAGTTCAAGAGTGCCTTTGCTAGCTCTTTCTTGAATATTTCCAAAGCCTTGGAAGATTCTAAGTTTTGGGTGTGGCATAAGGAAAGCTGAATGATAGGGCAAGGTCCTGCTCCCCTTTCCTCATCATGTCTGTCTGTCCCCTCTTTGTTCATAGTCGACCACGGCATGTTTGAGAATTTGAACACAGCCCTCACTCCAAAGCTCCAGGCCAGCCGCTCCTTCCCCCACTTGTCCAAGCCCGTGGCCCCCAGCTCTGCCTCTCTGGGCTCTGCTGAGCCTGGGGGGGCGGGACTCTGGGTGGGCAGCAGCCAGCACCTCAAGAACCTGGGCAAAGCCATGGGGGCCAAAGTGAATGACTTCCTGCGGAGAAAAGAGCCCTCCAGCC